TCTAGGGCTTTACAGGGGCTTTACAGTTTTAGGGTAGCTTAGCGAGCCTAAGTCTGGCTGTCACATGCTGGAAGAAAAAAGACGCAGGGCTCGGGGTTAGGGGAGAGGGCCCTAAGCTTGCGCCCCTAAACCCTAAACCCTAAACCCTAAACCCTAAACCCTAAACCCTAAACCCTAAACCCTAAACCCTAAACCCTAAACCCCCAACACTCTCAGCCCGACAAAGTAGAAAGCCAAGAAGCAGACCTCGGCCGCACATGAACATTTTTTGTTCATAGTGAGTTGGTTGTTATGTTTCTTGCTATGTTTGGATTGTGCGCAGGGTCCTAAAACAAGTGAAAAGAGCGAGAATCCAGAATCCGAAACAACCGAACTCATCACTCTAGCCTTAGCCCCAGGAGCCCGAAACCCCGAAGCCCGGTTTAGGGTTTAGGGTTTAGGGTTTAGGGTTTAGGGTTTAGGGTTTAGGGTTTAGGGTTTAGGGTTCACCCGAATTCTCATGGTGGGCGGGTCCCAGGGCTGCTTTTTTCATCGTCGGAGGCGCGCGCAGCGCCGCTGCAGCCGCTGAATGGCCGGGCAGGGTTTAGGGTTTAGGGTTTAGGGTTTAGGGTTTAGGGTTTAGGCTTTAGGCTTTAGGCTTTAGGCTTTAGGCTTTAGGCTTTAGGCTTTAGGCTTTAGGCTTTAGGCTTTAGGCTTTAGGCTTTAGGCTGTAGGCTTTAGGCTTTAGGCTTTAGGCTTTAGGCTTTAGGCTTTAGGCTTTAGGCTTTAGGCTTTAGGCTTTAGGCTTTAGGCTTTAGGCTTTAGGCTTTAGGCTTTACACTTTAGGCTTTAGGCTTTAGGCTTTAAGCTTTAGGTCTGGGTTTTAGGCTTATGGCTTTAGGCTTTCGGGCTTGGGGTTCAAAACCTGGAGTTTGAAGAGGCCTAGGATTTAAGCAGGGGGTTGCGGATGCCTGCGTCCTAGGGCTTTATTACCCTAAGCCCTGAAGCCTCAAGCTTGGATCGAGGATTGCATGGTTTTGGAGTTGGGCGTTGAGGCACAGGCAAAGCAAGACCTTAAATGAACCCTAAGCCCTAAACCCTAAACCCAAAGCCCTAAACCCTAAACCATACCCTAAACCCTAAACCCTAAACCTAAACCCTAAACCCTAAACCCTAAACCCTAAACCCTAAACCCTAAACCACCTGGACCCTCTGAGCCCGACAATTCTTGTCCCCTGGGTTCGAAGGTCGCCTTCCTTGGTTTCCACCTGCCCTGCCGCGGGCCTGGAAGACGGAGCCTCCTCTAGGGTTTAGGGTTTGGGGTTTGGGGTTTAGGGTTTGGGGTTTAGGGTTTAAGGTTTGGGGTTTAGGGTTTAGGGTTCAGGGTCAAGGGCCCCAACGTTCCGAAGCAGCGAAGATCCCTGAAACCCTAGGCGCCCCTCAAAGCCCTTAATAGGTTTTCAGGGTGAGGGCTGTGCCTAAACCCTAAAACCCAAAACCCTAAACCCTAAACCCTAAACTGCATGGGCGCTCGAGGCTTCGACCGAGGTCCCCGACCGAGCGTCTCCACAGAACGGTGAGGGAGGGTAAAGCCTCGCGGTAGACGGGGCCGAGAGCGCCGCTGTCCAGGGTTTAGGGTTTAGGGTTTAGGGTTTAGGGTTTAGGGTTTAGGGTTTAGGGTTTAGGGTTTAGGGTTTAGAGTTCTGGACGAAGCCCTAAACCCTGTAGGTTATCTTACTCATTCCAAGGCCCGAGGGATTTCGGGGATAGTGTGTAGGGTTTAGGGTTTGGGGTCTAAACCCTAGACAACTCCTTAAAGTCCTACCAGCGCCCCCACCCAAAACCCGAACTCCTCAAAGCCTACACCTTATAAACCCTAAACCCTAAACCCTAAACCCTAAACCCTAAACCCTAAACCCTAAACCCTAAACCCGAAGTGCTGAAAGAAGATGACGTGACCCCAGACACCTATTCATTGCCCAGGACCTCCCACGAGTTGAAATAGAGTTTAGGGTGTAGGGTGTAGGGTTTAGGGTTTAGGGTTTAGGGTTGAGGGTTTAGGGTTTAGGGTTTAGGGCTCAGTGCTTTAGAGTTCAGGGGTTTCGGGTTTGCAGCCCTAAGCCCGGAACCCGAAATCCCTGAACCCAGTGAGGATCCTAATGAAGGGTCCCGCACTGAGATCCCTTCGAGAAAGGAGCCTTCTTCTCAAAAAGAACCCTAAAGCCGAAAACCCTGAACCCTAAAACCTACACACTACACCCCAAACCCTAAACCCTAAATCCTAAACCCTAAACCCTAAACCCTAAACCCTAAACCCTAAACCCTAAACCCTAAACCCTATACAGGCCAAGGGTTTCCGCCGCCATTCGTTCGCGCTCTCGCGGCTAGGGCCGCACCACAGGGCTATGCCGTGTTTTTGTTGGGCTTCGAGCTTTGGGGTCCAGGGTTTGGGGTTTAGGGCTTAGGGTCCAGGGTTTGGGGTTTAGGGTTTGGGGTTTAGGGTTTGGGTTTCGAGCTTTGGGGTATAGGGTTTGGGGTTTCGGGTTTGGGTGTTGAGCTTTGGGGTTCAGGGTTCAGGGTTTGGGGCTTAGGTTTTAGTGTTTAGGGCTTGAGCTTTGAGGCTTGGATTTAGAATGTTTGGGGTGTAGGGTTGAGGGTTCAAGTTTGAGGTTTAGTATGTTTAGCGTGTAGGGTTTCAGGCTGGTATTGGTGTTTTTTCTCGCTGGTTGTAGCTGAGCGAAAATCCTTCTACCATTACTTCATACTTATACACATAGGGCTGCCACAAGCTGGCTTGTTTATCTTAACCCCCCAAGATCAATGTAGAACTAGGCAGTAGCAGGTTCGCCCTAAACTCCAAGCCTCAAACCCGAAACCCTAAACCCTAAACCCCAAAACCCCAAAACCCCAAAACCCCAAAACCCCAAAACCCCAAAACCCCAAAACCCCAAAACCCCAAACCCCAAACCCCAAACCCTAAACCCTAAACCCTAAACCCTAAACCCTAAACCCTAAACCCTAAACCCTAAACCCTAAACCCAAATGTAGTCGGCCGGGCTCGATCGATGAGGGAACTGAGCATGAAGCCGAAGTTAAGCACAAGTTAAGTGCCTTAGGGGACCAAAGTAGAGACCCTTATCAGGGACCTTAGGCTACGAATTGCGTAAGAAACTCCCAAAAATAGACTTGCTCTTCCTTATAAGGGTAATGTAGGGATTATTAGTGTTCTTTTTTTTTTTTGGGGGGGGGGGGAGGTCTTAAGCAAATAGTAGTAGTAGTAGGGGTAATGTAGGGGCTGCTTAGGTACATAAGGACCTATGCAAGGTACATGTACGGGTTATATGGGGCTGATTTAGGGGAGTAACCCTAAACCCTGAACCCTAAACCCTACACCCTAAACTTTAAATCCTAAACCCTAAACCCTAAACCCTAAACCCTAAACCCTAAACCCTAAACCCTAAACCCCCCTAAACCCTGAACCCTGAACCCTAAACCCGATTAAGGGTCCCTTCTAGGAGTCCCTAGGCAAATCCCTTAAGTACACAGGGGGCTTTTCAAGAAGCGTGTGGGATATCGTCTGATTCGAGGCGTTGGCTTCCTTGTCTCCATCTGCTTGGGGATGAATCCTTGCACTTGGGTTTCGGTTTTGAAGTTTTCGGTTTGCAAGGTTTGGAAGGTTTGGGGTGGGGGGGGCGGGGTGGGTGGGGGGTCGGGTTCCTTCGGTGATCATTCGTAGCAGTCGCACCGTCTTGCAAGACGCCGCCAAAACCCTAAAACACACGGCAAGTACAGGTGCTGTGGTCTTGATGAGAAACTTTGTAGGCCTCAAGGGCCCTAAAACCTAAACCCTTAGCCCTGGGCCCTGAACCCTGAACCCTAAGCCCTAAACCCTGAACCCTAAATGGGCGTTCGCCTCAAGGAGCTGTAAGCAGGCCTCTTAGAGCCCAGTTCTTTTCAGAGCCTTTCGCATGAAAGCAACCACTTGATCCGGCAATCTAGGGTTTAGGGTTTAGGGTTTAGGGGTCATGTAGGGTTTAGTCTTGAGGGTTTGCAAGGTTTTGGTTGACATTCTGGGTTTCGGCTCTCCTACTTCGGCGCCTAATCCTATAGGATCTGGGGTTTAGGGTTTAGGGTTTAGGGTTTAGGGTTTAGGGTTTAGGGTTTAGGGTGGTGAGGCCACCGAACAGAAGTCCAAACAGGACCGCAGAAATCCGCAGAAACAAAAGGAGGACTCGAAGGGCTTCAGCAAGCAAAGCGAATCTAAATCCCAAACACTTGCCGAAACCTTTAACTGAGCCCCCCCAAAACCCCAAACCCCTGAAGCCCTAAACTCCAAATCTATACTATATGGAGGTTGACGAAAATAGGCGACCCCTCAAATGAAAAAGGAACCCCATCCCCCCCCTCCCCCCCCAATTGCCACTACATGAATGCTCAAAGTGTGAACATCAAGCCCCCGTTCCTTCATTGAACTTGGCCCTACACCCTAAACCCGAAACCCTCAACCCTCAACCCTCAACCCTCAACCCTCAACCCTAAACCCTAAACCCTAAACCCTAAACCTAAACCCATTGGCCTCTGGTGGCCGAGGTGCGCCGATGTCACTTCCATGGGCACAAGCCCGGGTTCCTGGCTGTTGCAGGGTTTTGGGGGTTTAGGGTTTAGGGTTTACTGTAGCGTTTAGGGTTTAGGGTTTAGGGTTTAGGGTTTAGAGGTTTGGGAATATTCGGGTTGTATACAGGGAGTATGTGGGGGGGTTACGAAATAAGGTACCCCATTCAATATCCAAACAGTCGGATTCCCCAAGAAGGCACCCGAATTTCGGAAGCCCCTTAGGGTGGTGTTGGGCTTGGGGTCGGAACAGACCCAGGCCCTAGACACAGCTTTTTCAGGGGTTTGGGGTTTAGGGCTTAGGGTTTAGGGTTTAGTTTTTCGGGTTTAGGGTTGTCCCTTGAAACCCTGACGCTCAAGTTGGCTCGAGACGGCGTGACGTGCATCCGTCCTTCAGCACTCGGAAAGCCATGGCGGTTATTGGGCATTGGGTGGGAGCGTTCCCTCTATGCCCCTGGGGCAAATGAGAGGCCAACCTTGCCCTAAAACCCTAAGCCCCAGACCCTCACGCCTAAACTCCAAACGACCCAAAGCGGTAAATCCACGCTTACAAGTCCATGAATCAGAAATCCTAAGCCTCAAACCTTAAGCCCCTTACCTCTACACATGAACCCGAGTTTCAGGAGTCTTGGGTCCACGGCCTTCCCAAATCTTCCCAACAAGTTCGCGACTAAGGCATCGGCCTTAAACCCACAGAGCTTCATTAGGGTTTAGGGTTTAGGGTTTAGGGTTTAGATCTCCAGGCTGTTTAATCTCGGAAATCCCCAAACCCAAACTCGCCAGACTGGCCCTTAAGGGCACCGCCGCACTCTGTGTGAAGGCGGCACGTAGCATGGCGGAGGCCAAGCTTGGGGGCTTCAGGGTTTTAAACGTCTTAGAGGGCGTGCAGGCGTAGGTGTAGAGGGCTTTAAAGGAGTAAAGGTAAGAGGTTCAAGGGTTTAAGTAGGTTTTAAGAGAGTAACGGTTCAAAGGTGTTAGGTTCAAAATATTTATGGTTTAGGGTTTAGGGCGAGTGTTTTTTTTTTTTTTTTTTAAGGGGGGGGGGCACCTAACATTCAAAATCTAGCCCCTGATACAGTGGCCTCTGCAGTTGGGCAGCCAAGGCTACTTCGTCCCGCAGGCCTCTGTGGCACTTCTTTGCAAAATGGCGCCGATTGACTGCAGAAGGGTTTAGTTTAGGGTTTAGGGTTTAGGGTTTCGGGTGTTGGGCTGCAGGTTCCGGGTTTCGGGTTACTAAACCCCAAACCCCAAGCCCTGAACCCTAAAATCTAGGGGTTCAGGGTTCAGGGTTCAGGGAGCAATAAGCCCCGAATGGGGCCCCAAATAGGGTCGCTGAGGTTGTGGGTGGGAGGGGGGGGGGGCTCGAGGTCTGCAGGGTTCAGGAGCCTTTCTTTGACGTAAGACGACAGACGGAGCATGCACCTCCTGAACCCTAAACCCTAAACCCCTAAACAAACCTAAACAACCCTAAACAACCCTAAACAACCCTAAACAACCCTAAACAAGGCTAAACAACCCTAAACAACCTTAAACAACCCTAAACAACCCTAAACAAACCTAAACCACCCTAAACCACCCTATACCACCCTAAGCCCCTAAACCCCTAAACCTCTAAACCCCTAACCCCTGCACCCTAAACGCTAAACAACCCTAAAACCCTAAAACCCCGAAACCACTAAACCCCTAAACCCTAAACCCAAGCCCTAAATCCTAAACCCGAAACCCGAAACCCTGAGCCCAATCCCCCAAACCCTAAACCCTAAACCCTAAACCCTAAACCCTAAACCCTAAACCCTAAACAGCATGTGAAGCGGCCTTTTCGGGCTGGGCCCCGAGCTCCGCAACCTCCGCAGGTTCTCGCTGGTTAGTGCGTAGCGAAGCGAAGCACGGTAAGCGTCTCGTTGTTGCCTTGAACACAGTTTGCAGTGTCGAAGCCTTTGCAGCTCGAAGGGTCTGCAAAGGGTAGAGGTCTGTTCTTGCTAGGTTGCACTTTAGTTCCATGCTAGGATGGCTGAAATCAGCTGAACTGCTCGATTTGCGCATCCCAGGAAAATGATGCGCAGGGTGTCACGGAGTCGTGAGGGCTGGCGGGTGGGACTTTGTGTGAATACAACTCTAGAGACGGGTTCTTAAGGGAGAGGGGGGGTTCAGGGAAGGCCTACCTAGGGAAGCTTAGGGAGCCTTAAGGGTTTAGGGTTTAGGGTTTAGGGTTTAGGGTTTAGGGCTAGGGTTTAGGGTTTTGGGTTTAGGGTTTAGGGTTCCCTTGAACCCCCCCTCCCTTAAGAAACCTATAAGCTGTGTCGAGGATGATGTCTGACTTCATCGCTTCTTTCTTGCTGCTCTTCCAGGTCGAGAGCGAGTCTTGGTTAAAACCCTTAGTTAGGGTTCAGGGTTCAGGGTATAGGGTTTAGGGTTTGGGGTTTAGGGTTGAGGGTACCATAAACCCCAAACTCTAAAACCCTAAACCCTACACCCCCAACCCGAGACCCTAAACCCCTAAACTTCTAAACCCTAAACCCGACACCCTAAAGCCTGAACCCCTAAACCCTAATTTTTGCAACCGCCTTTCCTCACCTGCTTTCCATGTTGGGCGTCATGTCTAATTAACTCCCTCAACCCTAAACCCGAACACCCTATAAACCCTAAACCCTAAACCCTAAACCCTAAACCCTAAACCCTAAACCCTAAACCCTAAACCCTAAACCCTAAACCCTAAACCCACAAAACCCTGAACCGGTACGGTGCTTTCTTGTGGTAATTCAGGTTTCGGGCTTGTGGCCTGTTCTCCTGCGCAGGGGGTGGGGCGCGGGCTGGAACCCAGAACCCTGAACCCTAAGCTAGACAAGAGAGGACCGTCGGTTTAGGATTGAGGGTTTGGGCTTTTGAAATAGTTTTTGGGGCGCGGCTTTGGGCAGTGGGGGGGGGGGGTGCTTAATTAGGGTTTTGGGTTTAGTGCTGAGTTTGTAGGGTTTAGGGAGGATGTGGGGGCTTGCGAAAGTTCAGGGTTTAGGGGCAGTGCTGGGGTTGGAGGGTTTCACCCTAAACCCTAAACCCTAAACCCTAAACCCTAAACCCTAAACCCTAAACCCTAAGGGGGCTTCGGGGGCTCGAAGGAAGTCTTTTGTTTAGGGGCAGTGTTGAGGTTGTAGGGTTTAGGGGGTTTAGGGTTTGGGGTTTAGGGTTTCGGGTTTAGGGTCAGTGTTGAGGTTGTAGGGTTTAGGGGGTTTAGCGGGCTCTAGGAAGTCTCGGGTTTAGGGGTAGTTTTGAGGTTGGAGGGTCCAGGAGGTTTATGGCGCCCTAGGAAATTTTGGGTTTGGGTTTTATACCCTAAACCCTAAACCCTAAACCCTAAACCCTAAACCCTAAACCCTAAACCCTAAACCCTAAACCCTAAACCCTAAACCCTAAACCCGAAACCCTAAACCCTAAACCCTAAACCTAATTAGGGTTTAGGGTTTAAGGATGTTCTTGTCTGAGGCAGCCACCTTCCCTTGGTACTTGAGCACGCCGCCTCCGTCAACCAACAACCTGATCCTGGAATGGAAGGAGAAGGGGCAGTGGTTGCCTGAGGCACGTCCCAAAACCCGAAACCCCAAAGCCAAAACCCTAAATCCCGACCCCACAACCTAAAACCTTTATTCGAGTTCATTATTCAGAGCAAAGAAGGCAGTGTCAATGGCATTGGTAATGCGTTGCCTAGCATGGTACTGGTAGAGCTTGCGGAGTTGGGGTTTGCTCATCTGAGATGGATCTTTTTTGTACCAGGCTATTCCGTCCATGGCGCGCGCAGTTCTGGCTCTTCGGTTCTACTGCTTTGCACTTGAACCCTATGGGCCAGGGAAGAAACCTCAAAGAAGCAACGCTCAAAACATGCCGCTCATCTACTTCCCGTTTATCTGTGCAGCGAAACAACCTTAAAGCCCTAATCCCAAACCCCAAAACCTAAAGCCTAGAACCCTAAACCTCCAGAAGCAAAGAAGGGTTCGTTGCTTGAGGGTGTAGGGTCTCGGGCTGAGGGCTTGGATTAGAGCTGAGGGTTCAGGGTTTTCTGGGTTTAGGGACTAGGGTTTAGAGCTTAGAACTCTTTTCGTATTCTTAGCATCTGTCCCACTCTCATGAGTACATCTGGTAGCTGGTTGCATGTTGCTTTTAGCTCAGAATACGCTGTGCCAACTTTGTTCCTTGGCACTTCCTCCGCCCTGAAAGTTTAGGGGTTTGGGATTCATAGGGTTCAGGGAACCCTAAACCCTAAACCCTAAACCCTAAACCCTAAACCCTAAACCCTAAACCCTAAACCCTAAACCCTAAACCCTAAACCCTAAACCCTAAACCCTAAACCCTAAACCCTAACCCTAAAATCACCCGCCGAATCCTGCAGAGAATCTCCCGTAGCCGGCCTTGTGTAGCTTTCCAGCTTGCGAGTTCAGATTTAACCTATCCACCGGGTTCTAGGGTTTAAGGTTCAGGGTTTGGGGTTTATGGTTGAGGGCTAAACCCTAAACCCTAAACCCCAAACCCTCAACCCTAAACCCTAAACCCTAAGTTAGGGTGTTCAGGGTTTAAGTGTTCACAGGGTTTTTGAGCCCTGGATCAGGCCGAGGCGACCTACAAGCAGGGCTTCAGCGGGTTTCCTGTCCTTTTCCCTGTGTACCTGGACTTATCATATTCACATTCCGCGACTTGCCTGCAGCTTCGGGCTTAGGGTCCCCAAACCCTAAACCCTAAACCCTAAACCCCAAACCCTAAACACCTGAGTTTAGGGCTTCGGGTTTAGGGCTTACGGTGTTTGACTTCCTCCGGAGCACGTAGTTGCGGAGCCAATAGGGTTGCCGATCGAGATTTTTGTTCAGGGTTTACAGGGTTGATTGGGTTTATGGGGTTTATAGGGCTCATGGGGGTTTAGGGTTTAGGGTTTAGGGTTTAGGGTTTAGGGTTTAGGGTTTAGGGTTAGGGTGTATCGGGTGTATTGACTGAGGTGGAATGCTTGGTCTTCGTAGGGCTGGCCGTGGCCGCGGTTTGGCGCCTGCGCTACGGCATCAGCATCTGTGTCCGCTCTGGCACAACTTTGCTGCTGGTACCCTAAACCCTACCTAAACCCTAAACCCTAAACCCTAAACCCTGAACTTGCCCAGCAGCCTTTAAGTGCTGAGATACCGATAGTCATATGAAGCAGGGTTTGGAACCCCATAGACACTCACCAACAACAGCAAAACAGACCCTGTTTCAGAGAGACCGAGAGCCCCGAAGGTATCGGCTATGTCATTGCCATCTTCCTCGCGGGCATTAGCCACCCTATTCTCGCCCCTCATTGCTTGAGGTTTGCAGTGTTTGGTGCTCTCTTCGGTGGGCGTCGAAGGGTGTAGGTCTAAGGCTCCAGGATGTTGGTTGCAAGAGGTTCAGGGTTTGGGGTATCTGTTCGGCCTAGGGCTTAGGATCTACGGGTTCAGCCGAACCGGGGCTATAATGCACAACCTCAGCCCTGATTCCTAAACCCTAAACACTAAACCCTAAACCCTAAACCCCAAACCCTAATTAAACCCTAAACTCTGAAAACGCCAGTCCTTCAGCCTCGCCCCCTCGCCAGGGCTTGGACGCTCCTTTCAAGATCGTGTCCCACCTTCCCACCTCCCCTGCACCCTACCCAGCCCTAACCCGCAAACCCTGAACCCCAAATCTTGAACCCTGTCTAAACCCTGCTGTAGGAACCCAAAACCGACATTGTTGTAGGTTACCTAAGAATCTCATAAGGGGGTTTGTAGTAAGAACCTTGAAAAAGTAGGCTTGTTGTTCGTAAGGTCGCCGCACCTTAGGACATGTTTTTCCACGACGCCTACGTCCTGTCGGGGAACCGCGCAGTTACCCGCGTGACCTACAACTTCTGGCAGATCCCCTACATGGAGCCCATTGCGTACTTGATTCTCGGCGTTTAGAGTTTAGGGTTGAGGGTTTAGGGTGTAGGGTTTAGGGTTTAGGGTTTAGGGTTTAGGGTTTAGGGTTTAGGGTTTAGGGTTTAGGGTTTTGGGTTTTGGGTTTTGGGTTTAGGGTTTAGGGTTTAGGGTTTAGGGTTCAGGGTTCAGGGTTCAGGGTTTCGGGTTTAGGGTTTAGGGTTTAGGGTTTAGGTTCGGGAGGGAGCTGACTATGCATGAGAGCATGATCTCTAGGCTAGGCCGCAGTCCCCAAACCACAAGCCCCCTAACACCCCAGAACCCGAAAAGCCCTACTCCCCCAAGCCTTATAAGCCCTAAGCCCTAAGCCCTAAACCCTAAACCCTAAACCCTAAACCCTAAACCCTCTCTACCATATATATTTAAACCTTAATTGTATTTTCAAAATTTGGCCGCTTTATTTTCAGAATTTGGCCGCTTTATTTTCAGAATTTGGCCGCTTTATTTTCAGAATTTGGCCGTTTTAATTTCAGAATTTGGCCGCTTTATTTTCAGAATTTGGCCGCTTTATTTTCAGAATTTGGCCGCTTTATTTTCAGAATTTGGCCGCTCTATTTTCAGAATTTGGCCGTTTTATTTTCAGAATTTGGCCGCTTTATTTTCAGAATTTGGCCGCTTTATTTTCAGAATTTGGCCGTTTTATTTTCAGAATTTGGCCGCTTTATTTTCAGAATTTGGCCGCTTTATTTTCAGAATTTGGCCGCTTTATTTTCAGAATTTTGCCGCTTTATTTTCAGAATTTGGCCGTTTTATTTTCAGAATTTGGCCGCTTTCTTTTCAGAATTTGGCCGCTGTATTTTCAGAATTTGGCCGCTTTATTTTCAGAATTTGGCCGTTTTTGGCTTTCTCAATGTAGTGGGATTCTCTGGGTGGGTGGGTGTTATATCCGAGACGTAAATAGAGCTTAACCATAAAGCTGCTCGACCCGGAGTGCTGAACCCTAAACCCTAAACCCTAAACCCTAAACCCTAAACCCTAAACCCTAAACCCTAAACCCTAAACACTAAACCCTAAACCCTAAACCCTAAACCCTAAACCCTAAACCCTAAACCCTAAACCCTAAACCCTAAACCCTAAACCCTAAACCCTAAACCCTTTAAACCCTAAACCCTAAACCCTAAACCCTAAACCCTAAACCCTAAACCCTAAACCCTAAACCCTAAACCCTAAACCCTAAACCCTAAACCCTAAACCCTAAACCCTAAACCCTAAACCCTAACCCTAAACCCTAAACTCTAAACTCTAAACCCTAAACCCTAAACCCTAAACGCCGAAAGAAAGCTCAAGTCTTTGGGGGCCCTTGTGGAGCCTTCAGTCTTAGGCCGCTTTATGCCCTGAGACGCGAAGGCCCCTGAACACTAATAGCCCAGCTCAGGATTTAGGGTTTAGGGTTTAGGGTTCAGGGTTTAGGTGGTTTAGGGGGTTTGGGGGGTTTAGGGTTTAGGGTTTAGGGTTTGGGGTTTGGGGTTTAGGTTTTAGGGTTTAGGGCCATCATCAGTGAATCATCAGGTTGGAGATCCTCATGTGCTACGGCGGCTACCGCATCTGGTGGTCGACAAGGCAACCGCTACCCGGCCCTGAGGCCGGTAGGTGTACGGTTGGGTTTAGGGTTTAGGGTTTAGGGTGTAGGGTGAAGGGTTTAGGGTTTAAGGTTTAGGGTTTAGGGTTCAAGGAGGGACCCCTTATAAGGGACCTTACGGGTCCATGGTTGAGGGTTTACTCCTATTGAGGGTAATATAGGGATTGTTACCATGTTTTTTTTTTTTTGGGGGGGGGGGAGGTGGGTTCTTAAGCAGACTATTGCTTAAGAGCCCCCAACAAACCAAAAATGTATTCTTCCTGATAGGGCAAGGTGGAGTTTTTTTGGTCGGGGTTCTTAAGCAAATAGTGGTTTAGTGGTAGGGGCTGAGGGCTTAGGGGTTCGGAACTCTTGGGTGTAAAGCTGCTGTAAAGAACTTTTGGTTTTCAGGTTTCGGGCTTATAGGAAAATTAGGGTTTAGAGGATTAAGGGTTTAGGGTTTAGGGTTTAGGGTTAGGGCACCGGAAGTTTGGGTTTAGTTTGCTTGATGCATCTTCGTCACCACCCAACCCAAGCCTCCACTCTGCCCATCCCACCACCCGAAAAAGAACCGCATGAGGCTTATTTAGGATCTAGGGTTTAGGGTTTAGGGTTTGGGGCTTGGGGTTTAGGGTTTAGGGCTTAGGGTTTAGGGTTTAATTTCGGTCTGGGTGGTCAAACGGGCCGTTTAGAGTGTTAACTTTTTAGGAACTGTGGGTGTTAGGGGGTCGAGGGGTTCGGGTTCACAGGCTTCGTAGGGTCAAGCGTTTAGGCCTTATCATCGACGTTTTGAAATTGAGGGTGGCGCATAAACCCTCGAAATCCCAAAGCCATGATCCCCATACCCCAGAGTCTGGAGGGTTTAGGGTTAAGGGTTTATAGGGTTAAGGGTTTATAGGGTTTAGGGTTTAGGGTTTAGGGTTTAGGGTTTAGGGTTTAGGGTTTAGGGTTTAGGGTTTAGGGTTTAGGGTTTAGGGTTTAGGGTTCAGGGTCTCCTGGTTCTGGGTTGGTGGTTTGTGTGGCCGGATGCCTACTGCGGAGCTTCGCGTGTGTAGGGACCAGAGAAAACAGAAGCCTTCATGAAGGTGTTTGTGGCCTTACGCTGGGTTTCGGTAGCTCCTGAACCTCTTCCTGGTGTTGTTGCCCCTCTACCTGAACCCTGCCCTCCACCCTCAGCAGTTACGTCCAACCCCCTCGATTTGCCAAAATGCTACTCCTCAAGCCCCCAAATTTAAGAGCCTCCGGCTCAAGCCGCCGACCCCGCTGGAGCATAGTTGAAAGGTTTAACCTATGTCCTGTGCGAAACCGCCTATGGTCCGTGAGTTTATGCGGTGTGGGTGGCCTGGCCCTCCATAGACTACCCCCCCCCCCCCCTTTTGGGGGGGTAAGGAGGGAAAGAGGGAGGTTTTCACCTCCTTTTCCCATCCAACACGCCGCCAGGGTCGGCGGACAACCTTTAGACAAACCTTCGCAACCCCCGAAGCCCTACATCCCCACAACAGTCCTGGTGGCAGATAGGGGAAGGGTAGCATGACATCCCAGACTTTAACCCTGATCCTTGAACCCTGAACCCTGAACCCTAAACCCTAACCCTAAACCCCAAACCCCAAACACTAAACCCCAAACCCTAAACCCTAAACCCTAGCCGAAGCTCCAGGTCGATGCCAACATCACATTCTACAAGCGCATGTTCTGGACTGTGGCCTTGTGCCCTGGCCCAAAACCCTGAACTTCAAAACCCTAAACCCCAAAACTTGAACCCTAAACCCTAAACCCACGATCCTATATCGCGGCGAGAGGCCCTAGGCCCTAAACCCTAAACCCTAAGCCCTAAACCCGAAACCCGAAACCCTAAACCCTAAACCCTAAACCCTAAACCCTAAACCCTAAACCCTAAACCCTAAACCCTAAGTTTGGAAAATGCCCTGAAGTGGCCCAAGTGACTTTCTGAAAGGAGCCACAACATGGCTTCCTTCTACATCGTCAGCCCTTCACTGATTTGGATCATGTACAAGATCGCACCGGCTGCTGGGCAGGGATATGGGTGTAGGGTTTGGGGGTTTGGGGGTTTGGGGGTTTAGGGTTTAGGCTTTAGGGTTTAGGGTGGTTCGACTTCCGATGCCAGGACTATCAGCCGAAGGTACCACCCCGAAACTCCAAACACTATCGCTAAGCCCCACAAGCCATAAGCTACAGAATCACGAAAACGAGCACGAACCAACCCAAGTTAGAAGCAAACGTGATTGTTTGTATCGCGATAAAAAAAGCACTCAAAATTTGCGTCGAACTTAACCCTAAGCCTTAAACTCTAAACCCCTCGACAAGGAGCAGCAGTTCTTGACCCCTGCCTGCTACTGGTCTTACTGTTTGCCACCTGGCGCCTAAGCGGTTCTGCTTTTTATTTCTTCCTGGACTACGATCCAAGGGTTTTTTTTGAGGTCAGGACCCTAACCGTAAACCCTGAACCCTAGACCCTAAACCCGAAACCCTAAACCCTAATATATGCCTAGGTTGCTGGAGGGCGCCCTCCTAGGACATCATAAGCCCGGACTCAAAGTGGAGGCGTGAGATTCTAAACTCATCCTCACAGCGATTTTTCAGGGTTTAGGGTTTGGGGTTTAATTTGGGTGCAACCAGCCACTAGGGCCACTAGGGAATTTCGAGTGTGCGCTGTCTTTGACCGTTGTCTTTGACTCGATCGAGAATTCTGAACCCGAAATCCGTACAGTCCGAGGCTCGAAGCCCTAAACCCTAAACCCTAAACCCCAAACCCTAAACCCCAGAACCGAAACGTGCTCGAAGGGCCCATCCCAGGTTCGCCGTGACCCTTTGGTCCTGGACCTTCGCGCTCTATCCGCTGCACAAGCTCCTGGGTTTAGGGTTTAGGATTTAGGGTTTAGGGTTTGCGGTTTGCGATTTAGGGTTTAGGATTTGGTTTAGTCTGGTTCTGCGCGGCCATCAGATGCATAGTGCGCAGACCAGTTGGTGCGACGCATCAGGGTTTAGGGTTTAGGGTTTAGGGTTTAGGGTTTAGGGTTTAGGGTTTAGGGTTTAGGGTTTAGGGTAAACCCAGACCCTACAAGCCTCTAAGGGGCTTACTTGACAGTTGTTAGACGACTCCTCAGTCGGGACATGGGTGCCGCTACCTCGGGTCCAAACCCTAAACCCTAACCCCAAACCCCAAACCCTAAACTCTGAACCCTAAACCCTACACCCTAAACCCTAAACCCTAAACCCTAAACCCTAGGACTCCAAGTAAGGCCCAAATCCCTGGTCTGCCAAGGTTGGAGAGCCTCACCTGCAGGAAAGAGGCCGCTACAGAGCCGGCTGAAGAGTACCGGAAGATACCCTGAGAGTGTTTAGGGTTTAGGGTTTACTCGGTAGGCCCTTGGGACATTTTTAAAAGTTTTTCCCTTATTGGGCTTAAGGGTTTAGGGTTTAGGGTTTAGGGTTTAGGAACACCATTTACATAGGGCTTAGAAGGAGGCTTCCGTGAGCCCCGAGCATCAAGGCGAAGGTTATCACAGGGGACCCAGGAACGGACCGTTTTTGTTTGACATTGCTTAGGGTTTAGGGTTTAGGGTTTAGGGTTTAGGGTTTAGGGTTTAGGGTTTAGGGTTTAGAGTTGCACAATTTTGCCGACATCGGCTCATGGCATCTCGCCTCCAAATGGCAGGGACGGCTTACGATTGACAGGTTGCGGTTTCAGCTTAAACCCTAAACCCGGTTTAGGGTTTGGGGTTGAGGGTTTAGGGTTTAGGGGTTAGGGTTTAGGGTTTAGGTTCAGGGGTAGCCGGTGAATCCCGAAGCTTAAGATGGTACTGGAAGTTGCGTGCCCGAGCCGTACCTTGTGTTCAGTAGCCGTCAGGCAGCCTCTGCAGGAGTTTTATATGCTGCCTGATGTGACGTTCCCTAGCCGCTCTGAGCGTGAAAAGGTCATTCTTTCATGTGCAGCATAATGTGGTCAGCTCCATACAGTATGAACGGTTTAGGGTGCAGGGTACAGGACCCTTAGGATACCCTGAGGCGTGGACATATTGTTGGGACCCGCATTTTAAAAAGGACCTGTCAAGGGAGCATGCTTTGCGAAACTGAGAAGCTGTACCTGGTGATGTCGACAGGACTTTGAGAGTATGCAAGGATGCCCAAAGCAAGACAACCCTCAAGGCCCTTCTGAGAAGCCCAAACCCTAAACCCTGAACCCTAAACCCTAAACCCCAAACCCCAAACCCTAAACCCCCAACACTTTCTCGGTTTGGATCGCCCAAGCCCAGTAGGGTTTAGGGTTAAGGGTTTAGGGTTTGGGGTCTCGGGTTTAGGGTTTAGGGTTTAGTAGTACCCTTTTGCCCCTTGTCTGGTCCAAGGTTCCCTTATACAAAGAAACCGACCCCAAGAGGGTAGCCCTATTGCAAGACGGCTGCTGGGCTACCAAGACAAGAAGAAGCACAAGCTAAACCCTAAACCCGAAACCCTAAACCCTAAACCCCAAGAGCAGAGCTAGTAGCTCTACAAGCAAAAGAGTGCCTCATAATTGAGCCAAAAGTTGTCGGCAATTGAGCACGAAGGTATCGTGGGCTGATACGGGACCCAGCATCAGAATCAGAACACACGCCAAGACAAATACTCCTAAGACTGGAGTCGCCTACCCCTCAACCCGAGATGCCCTGTTTCAACGGGCTTAGGTGGGAGCATATCCTAAACCCTAAACCCTAAACCCTAAACCCTAAACCCTAAATCTTAAACCCTAAACCCTAAACCCTAAACCCTAAACCCTAAACCCTAAACCCTAAACCCTAAACCCTAAACCCTAAAACCCAAACCCTAAACCCTAAACCCTAAACCCTAAAAAACCCTAAACCCTAAACCCTAAACCCTAAACCCTAAACCCTAAACCCTAAACCCCCTAAACCCTAAACCCTAAACCCTAAACCCTAAACCCTAAACCCTAAACCCTAAACCCTAAACCCTAAACCCTAACCCTAAACCCTAGGCCGGGTTAGGGCTGACTTGGGGCTTGGGGGTTGAGGGTAAAAAGTCCTAAGCCCCCCAAGCCCTCTAAAGCCCCCTAAAACCCTCTAAGCCTTCGAGACCCCCCAAGCCCTCCATACCCTCTGAGTCCTTTGAACTCGAAGCCCCCTAGCGCCCCAGGCCTCACGAACGCCGCCAGAGGCCGCGCGGGACGACGCAAGGGATCACCCCAGCCCTGCCCCCCGCGGCCTTCAAACACCCTCAACCCTAAACCCAAACCCGACTTAAACCCTGAATCGTAAACCCTAAACCCTAAACCCTAAACCCTAAACCCTAAACCCTAAACCCTAAACCCTAAACCCTAAACCCTAAACCCTAAACCCTAAACCCTAAACCTAAAACCCAAACCCTAAACCCTAAACCCTAAACCCTAAACCCTAAACCCTAAACCCTAAACCCTAAACCCTAAACCCTAAACCCTAAACCCTAAACCCTAAACCTAAGCCTTGTTCAGGCTAGCCGGTGAGATCGTGGCCACGACCCCTGAAGTTTCACTGAGCGGATGTCGACCAGAGACCCCCCCGCCAGAAGCAGATGGTTGAGCCTGCGAGACTTGAGGATTTCCCTAAATCCTAATCCCTAAACCCTGAACCTAAACCCCAAAAACCCTCAAAACCTCCAGACCCCTAAGCCCCCAAGCCTAAACCCGAATCAAAACCTGGCTAAGCTGGACGCTGCCATGCACAGCACTCGCCAGGTTGGTCACATAATAGTAAGTCCAGGCCTGTAATGAAAGGTTGGAACCATGGGCCCCTGGTATGGTCCCTTACCCTTGTTTCAAAGGGATCCGAAGTATGGGCCCTCATTTTGTGTAGTGTATATAGGGGTCATATAGCGGGGGACCCAAATCTAGGTCCCAAACTCCGGATCTGACCGAAACTAAGGGAGGTCGTTTATCTGATTGGACAGGTTTTGGTGGTCAGTTTCCGTTCAGGAGGAGCATAGACCGGTTTAGGGTTTAGGGCTTAGGGCTTAGGGTTTAGGGTTTAGGGCAAAGTCCGTCAGTTTAGTGCTCAGGGTTTGCGAGGCACAGCAAATAACGAGGCGCGTGCCAGAAAAGGCTTTAGGGTTGTTGGGGTTGAGAGGGTTTAAGCCCCAGGGCCTTTGATCTATTTACCCTAAACCCCAAGCTCTACACCCTGAACCCTAAACCATAACCCTAAACCCAAAACCCCTAAACCGTTGAGCTGTGGGCTTTAGGATGCCTCCCACACGACCACCCTGAACCCTAAACCCTAAACCCTGAACCCTAAACCCTAAACCCTAAACCCTGAACCCCCCCCCCCCCCAGCGGCCACAATCATCGGCAGAATTTGTCTCGGGTGTCTACGAGGGAGTCGTGGTCTCTATGGTGTCTGCTGAGTGGAGTAAAGACCTGAAGCCCTAAACTTAGGGTTTAGGGCTTAGGGTTTAGGGTTTAGGGTTTAGGGTCCCTAATTTAGGGTTACACTAAACTCACTAAACCCAAGCTAAACCTTTCTTACGGCTTTAGGGCTTGGCTTGTGAACGCCTTTTGCCTACGATGGACCGTTTGCCAGCTAGGATTTTAGGGTTTAACCCTCAACCCTCAACCCTCAACCCTGAACCCGAAACAAGCAGCGAAAAGTCCTCGAGCCTGCAGGGGGGTGCTGAGTCTAGGGTTTAGGGTTGTAGTGGGCCTTCAACCCATGAACTCTAGAGCGTTTCGGGTTTAGGGTTTAGGGTCTGGCGTACAGACCATTCTGCCAATCTCTCAAACGCCCCACCCTAGGCCCCTTGAAAAACATATCCGAGGAAGCTACGTTAGGGTTTAGGATTTAGGGGTTTAGGAAATAGGCCTGAACCGTAAACCCTAAACCCTAAACCCTAAAGCCTAAAGCCTAAAGCCTAAACCCTAAACCTTCAACCCTAAACCCTAAACCCTAAACCCTAAACCCTTTCGGAGTTCAGGTTTTTTGGATTTTGGGACTCCCGAGTGGCCCCTGTTGTTGTAAAGGCTACTGCAACTACAGGAAATTGCGTGCGGGAGGGGCTGAGGACCCTAGCCCTAAACCCTGAACCCTGAACCCTGAGCCCTAAACGCTAAACCCTAAACCCTAAACCCTATCCCGCAACATGAGGGGCTCCATGGCGTTTGGCTATTTTCCAGTCAAGGGTTCGGGGTTCCCTATTTGTTGGGGCGACCTGTAGATAGGACCCTAAACCCTAAACCCTAAACCCTAAACGTTAAACGCTAAACCCTAAACCCTAAACCCTAAACCCGAAACCCGAAACCCTAAACCCTAAACCCTAAACCCTAAACCTAATAGTGTTTTTGGGTCAGGCAAGTGGTCACTTTTGGGTTCCTTGATTATTTAGGGTACCCACAAAAGGACCATATTTCTGAGAACTGACCAAGACCCCCTATTTCAGGAATAGTTCAAGCCCTAAACCCTAAACCCTAAACGCTAAACCCTAAACCCTAAGCCCTAACTTAGAACCCCGAAACGCTACAAATTACTGGCTTTTTGGGGGGAGCTTCGGGTCTCGGACTCCCCACTAAAGGGCTGAGCCCTAAGTTAGTGACCCTAAACCCTAAACCCGAAACCCAAAACCCTAAACCCAATTGGGCTCATCTCCACGCATGCCTTCTCTGCACAAGAATTCGCCTGGCGCCGTTGAGGACAGCAGAGGTTGATAAGTGGTGGCCTAAACCCTGAACCGTAAACCCTTTAAACCCTAAACCCGCAACGCCAAACCCTAAGCCCCGTTGGACCCTATAGACTTAAGCGTGAGCGGCCCAAGAATGCAGGGCTTTAGCTGGGTTGAGGGTAGCTGGGTTTTTGGGTTTACGGTGTAGGTCTGCAGCCGTGGTAGTGAGGGGTGTATGGGCCGTATGGGTAATTGGTTCTTCCGGCAAGCTGCGCGTTGTGTAGTTGAACATAGAGTTTCAGTTTCTAGGACCAGGAGGCCCTTGTTCACCTCTTTTTGGGGTTTAAGCTTTTCTTATACTCCCCTTTAAACCAAGATGGGCGTCCTTTCTTTTCCTAGGTTACTCTGGGTCTTTTACAGGTTGGGGGGGAGGGTCCAGGGCCTTAAAGGTCAAGGCTTCAGGAAGTTCGGTTGTTAAGGGTCCCTAAAACCGAAACCCTAAACCCTAAATCCTAAACCCTAAACCCTAAACCCTAAAGGGCCCAGGGATGGAGATCCTTGCTCCTTTTTCAAGTGCTCCCTTGGCGGCGTGCTGCTGGCTGCATGTGTTGCCTGCGGAGGGACGGGTCGCCGACTCTCAGCCGCAAAAAACCCCGGCGCCTCAAGGGTTTAGGGTTTAGGGTTTAGGGTCTAGGGTTTAGGGTTGAGGGTCTAG